GGAGCCTTCGGTGGAGCTCCCTATGGAGCCACGAAACGTGTGAGGGGTGTGCCAGAATTGGGGGTGGAGAGGACATGCGGGCGCAGCCGCTGGGGCCTTCGGTGGAGCTCTCTATGGGGGAACGAAACGTGCGAGGGGTGTGCCAGAATGGGTGGTGGAACCGCATGCGGGCGCAGCCTCTGGGGCCTTCGGTGGAGCTCCCTATGGGGCCACGAATCGTGTGAGGGGTGTGCCAGAATGGGGGTGGAACCGCATGCGGGCGCAGCCACTGGGGCCTTCGGTGGAGCTCTCTATGGGGCCACGAACCGCGCGAAGGGTGTGCCCAAATGGGGGGAAGGGGGGGGTGCCACATGCGAGCGCAGCCACTGGGGCGTTCTGTGGAGCTCCCCATGGAGCCACCCGCGAAGCGTGCGAGGGGTGTGCCGAAATAGGGGGGGGGGGGGGGGACCGCATGCGAGCGCAGCCACTGGAGCGTTCGGCGGAGCTCCCTATGGGGCCACGGAACGTGTGAGGGGTGTGCCAGAATGGGGGGTGGAACCGCATGCGGGCGCAGCCACTGGGGCGTTCCCTATGGGGCCACGAAACGCGTGAGAGGTGTGCCAGAATTGGTGTGGGAGGGGGGGGAGGAAGAGGAAGGAGGAGGAAGGAGGAGGAAGGAACGCGGGGCGACGTCTCTTCAAAACGAGGACCCAACACCGCAGGATGGTTGGGGAAAAAAACATCAACCCTGGCGCCCCCAGCTCTCGGCACGCGGACCCGCCCCGCGGGCTTCCAGGCTTTCTCCAGACGCGCGCATTGCTCAACCACGCTGCGCAGCACGCCTGACGAGCCGTCGCTTCCGAGGCAGCGGAGGCCCGTGGCGCGCTCGGTCTCGCCCTCCCAGGCCTTGGCCAGCACGCTGGCGAGCTCGGCGTCGCCTGCGAGCCAGCCCGCCCTGCCCCCGTTGACCTGCAGGTTGCGCCCGGAAAGGCCGTCGACCAGAAACCGAAGAGCTGCAGTCGCTGCTCCCCAACCAGTCTCAGTGTCAAGCGATTGCAGCATCTGACCGCCAACAAGCGACTGCGCCCGCGACAGAAGGTACCTTCGCACTTGCTCCAGCAACAATGCGTGAACCATCAACTTCGCCAAGCCGAGCGCTCAGCTGCAGCCTGCTGCAATCGCGCCGTTGGAATATGACCGCATAACGCGCTCCAATATACTGCGCTCGGCGCCCCAGCCTGCGCGCGCAGCAGAGAGCCCCTGGCAAAGCCATGGGAGACCGAGTCGCCCTCGCCTCGCCGCCGCGCCAGATGCCGCGCCCTCCTCCCGGATGCAATGCGCCGCCAGCAGGTTGTGGACATGCCCAGCTTGATCACAAGTCCTGCCGCGGACTCCCCAATACAAGTCGCCCTCCAGCTGCCGTTCCTACTGCGCCACCAGCGGCTGCCTCAGGCGGCCCCGCATCGCCAGCCACGGGCAGTTGACCACGCCGGCCGCCCTCCACCCCCAGGTGGGGGCCTGGGCAAGAAGGAGATCAGCACGAGGAAAAAACGCGAGTCGATCGGGCCCCGCTCCCACGCGCGCAGCACGTCCAGAAACCCCAACTGAGAGCTGCGCGGCAGCCAACGCAGCTGCCTGGGACGGAGCTAGTCCCAGCCAAAGCCTGCTCTGTCGCTGTGTCGGTCACCTTCCGTAGGTCCTGCATCGAAAGCCTCAGCATCCACCGCTGTCACTGTGGCCCTCGCAAGATGCCCTCTGAGCTTGAGCAGCACAGGCGTGCGCGCGCAGATCGGCGCGCCCAACGCTGGTTGCACCTCCATGCCCAGACCTGAAAGATCTCTGGGGCAGGTAAGGAAATCGAGCTTCCTGTTGCCGCAGGTAGCTTCCCCTGGCAAAGCCATGGGAGACCGAGTCGCCCTCGCCTCGCCGCCGCGCCAGATGCCGCGCCCTCCTCCCGGATGCAATGCGCCGCCAGCAGGTTGTGGACATGCCCAGCTTGATCACAAGTCCTGCCGCGGACTCCCCAATACAAGTCACCCTCCAGCTGCCGTTCCTACTGCGCCACCAGCGGCTGCCTCAGGCGGCCCCGCATCGCCAGCCACGGGCAGTTGACCACGCCGGCCGCCCTCCACCCCCAGGTGGGGGCCTGGGCAAGAAGGAGATCAGCACGAGGAAAAAACGCGAGTCGATCGGGCCCCGCTCCCACGCGCGCAGCACGTCCAGAAACCCCAACTGAGAGCTGCGCGGCAGCCAACGCAGCTGCCTGGGACGGAGCTAGTCCCAGCCAAAGCCTGCTCTGTCGCTGTGTCGGTCACCTTCCGTAGGTCCTGCATCGAAAGCCTCAGCATCCACCGCTGTCACTGCGGCCCTCGCAAGATGCCCTCTGAGCTTGAGCAGCACAGGCGTGCGCGCGCAGATCGGCGCGCCCAACGCTGGTTGCACCTCCATGCCCAGACCTGAAAGATCTCTGGAGCAGGTAAGGAAATCGAGCTTCCTGTTGCCGCAGGTAGCTTCTTCTGCAGCCGCAATGACGCCCGCTGGCTCGCCGAGCCCACTCACGCACATCCTGCGGCCCCAGATTCCAGCCGACCCCAACGAGTCATGGCCCTGGGGGCAGGGGCGCGAGCTGCACCAAGGCACCAAGGAAATATACATTGGGCTCAGCCATGCCGATCTTGGTCGCCAAATACACCGACAATAATAGACAGGCACCGTGGTACTTGCGCTGAGGGCCGCAACCTGGCATCTGCTCGCAGGAAGGTCTCGGCGGAAAGAAACTGGAGCATCGCGTCCCAGCATAGGCGCGAACGACGAGATAACCACACCAGCAGATGACTCGGTCACACCTTCTCCTATGCTTTCTGTCTTGTCAAACAGAAGTTGTCCTCCAGGCATGTTACTCGATGTCCATCTCTTGGCCGAGTTGAGCTGCTTCTCGAACTTGAGCTGATGCTCCTGAACCAAAGAACATTGGGCGCCGTTTTGTCTGCATCCACCCCCGCATCTCATGCGCGCACATCTTGAGCCCTGGACCAGTCGGTGACACTCGCCGCCACAATGTCCAGGTCCTCCAGCTCCCTTGGTCCTGACCGCCGTTATTCGTGAGCTGCTTCGAGCACCATTGGGGGCGAGAGGCCGGCCTGCTTCGGGTGGGCGGCCTTGAAGAGGCCAGACACAACGCCTCCTCCGCTAGGATCCTGACGTTGATGTCCGTGCTTCTTAGCAGGCAAGAGGCACTCCTGGAAACGCTTGAGCTTGTCCCGATTCGCAGGCTTGGAGGGATCCACCTCTGCGAAACCTGCGTTTTTGAGACGTGCTGGCAAGTCCGGAACGCCCCAGTCGAACTGCCAAACATCCTCCCGCTCACCTGCAGCACAACCAAAGTCGTCATCAGGAACGCCAACACCCGTTGCCTGACGGGCTGCTGCTGCAGCCTCTGCCGCTGCCTGCTGCTCCTGCTGCTTGGCCTGCTCGACGAGCTTGGTCTTGATGGCGATGCTTTCCTCATCCAGGGCCGCGCAGAAGACCGTGAGCGGGGCCGCCAGCCCCACCCAGTGCTCGGACCCTTTGAGCTTGCCCAGGACCTCTTGCATGAGACCAAACAGCTCGCTGGTGGTGACGACGTCGCTCTTGCCCTCCGCAACCTTCTCGAGGACGGGGACAGCGCTGTCCAGCTCTTTTTTCTGGATGATCGCGCTGATCTCCGCCAGCGCCTCACGATGCTGCTTCTGACACCCCAGCTCCTGAGCCAGCTCCGCTTGCTTGGCTGCCAGCGCCCCGCGCGCATGCAGCACCCACTCCGAAGCCTTATCGCGCTGCTTCTCCTTCTTGGTCATGCGAAGGTGCAAGTCTTGAAAGGACTTCTTCGACAGGTCTTCCTTCGCAGGTCCCATATGTTCATCGACTTCAACGGGGACAAGCGTGGCCGAAATAGTTTGAGCCTGCCCTGCCGACGGGCCATACTTGGACGGATCGGCGAGCAGTTCCTGCTGAAGCTCCCGCCGCGCTTGTGCCGGCGCCTCCTCCTTGTACGAAACCGTTTTGCTGGTGGACATGGGGGGCCCCTTGGCCCAGCTACCTCCAGGTTTCGGCGGCTCCGCCGTGGACGGCTCCCGAGTCCCATGCACTGCGATCGCATCCAGAACCCAGGGCGGCGATTTGTCCCACACTGCCGGCACTGGGAGCGCCAGCCTCGATTCTTGTGGCCCCCGCATTTGCCATTGCACTTCCACTGACGGAGCGCTGCCGGGCTGGGTGTCATACACACCGGCTCGTAGCAGCTGTGCCACTTCCAAGAGCGCTGCCAGAAAGGTCTGACAAGTGGAAATGGCTAGGAAGGGGAAGAGGAGGAGCAGGAGAAGGAGGAGGAGGAGGAGGAGCAGGAGGAGGAGGAGGAGAAGAAGGAGGAGGGGAGGAGGAGGAGGAGGAGGAGGAGGAGGGAAGAGGGGTGGGAGGGGCAGCAGGAGGAGGGACGGAGGACGGAGGAGGAGGAGGAGGAGGAGGAGGAGGAGGCTGGGCCAGCCGCGGGCCGCGGCTGCAGCGCCCCCGGGGGGGAGCGGCGGGGGAAGAGAGAGCGTGACGCGGGCAGGAGGAGTCCACGTCGCCAGAGTGTGCCTCGCCTGCGCGTTCTTCTCTCTCCCGCCCTCCTCCCTCGTGGCTTTCGGCTCGGGCCCCTTTCGTCCTGCCCCTGTCGGTCCCTCGCCTCCCTGGCTTCGTCGACCCCATTCCACCAGCGCCACAGCCTCGGTCAAAGGTCGCCGGGCTTCCTGGGGGGGGATGGTCACATCCGTTTGGATTTTCAGACTTTTAATTCGGCTTTCAAGTCTTCCAGGGGAAGGGGAATAGGGGACGAGGATGTGGAGGGCATGACTTGCAGGAGCTTGAAGAGGAGAGGAGGGGGAAAGAGGAGAAGCGACACAAGGAGGAGTGCGGAGGGAGGGCGGAGCAACAAACGAATAGGAAAAAACCATGTTGTGGGGGGTGATGGCAAGGGTGAGCACGGAGACCTGTGCTCAGCGGTCCTTCTTGCTCTCGGACCAGTCCGACTGCCAGTTCGCGAAGCCCTCCCCGCAGTCGAACTCGGTGCAGCCCCTCGCCTTGTTCTCGCAGCACCACGCCTTCCAGGGCCCGACTCGCCACTAACACCGCTTCAGGTCGGAAGCGGACGGCCATCCAGAGCTCACAGACCTCAGCGCGCCAGTGGACCCAGCCGAGCGCTGACCTCGCCAGAGCCCAGAGGGTCGTCCGCCTCCTGGCGTGCAGCAGCGACGAGTGTACAGTCGGGGCGCGCGCCTTCTTCTCCTCGCTCCACCCCTCCTGCCAGTTGGCGTGGCCGGCGAGGCAGTCGAAGAGGTCCGACTCCTCCGCGCACCCCGTCTGCTTGTGCTCGCAGCACCACTCCGACTTCGCCCGCGGCCACCCCGACACTCCGCCCGAGCTGCCGGCCTTAGGGAGCACACAAAGGACGTACGCGCCCAGCTATGTACATGAACACGGCCCCTTGACCCGCGAGACCTGCCGCGCGATACGAACATTCGCGCAATGCGAACTCTCGAAACCAGCGTGGATTCATGTACATGTACGTCCTTCTGTCGCTCCAGAGGCCTCGCAGTCGTACGACTCCGAGAACGTCTCGCAGGCGACCTCCCGGTTCAGGCAGCACCACGCCCGCTTGTGGTCCGACCAGCCGCCGCGGCCGTCGTCGTCGCAGTCGAACGAGCCACCCTCGGGCTGAGAGCCGGCGGGGCAACCGATGCTCTTCTCCTGAAGGGGCCCCAGGACACACAAATAAATACACACAAATAAACATATTCCCCATATTTCCCAATATTTTCTGGGTTTCTGTCTTCCCCCCCACTTCCCATATTTTCCCATATTTTCTGAGGAATCGAGGGTTAATTGTGTCTGTGTGTTTTTTCCTCTCCTGATCTCCGAGCAGCACCACGCCTTCTTCTTGTCCGACCAGCCGGCCTCCCAGTTGGAGAAGCCCTCCTTGCAGTCGAAGGCGCCATCGGCATCCTCGGCGCAGCCGAGCTGCTCGTACTCGCAGCACCAGACCACCTTCTTCTCGGACCAGTCCGTGAGCCACCGGGCCAGGTCTGCCTGGCAGTCGAAGCGGGGCTCGTCGGGAGGCCCCCCCCCGCAGCCCATCTTCCTGTTCGAGCAGCACCACGTCTTCTTCTCCTGCGACCAGCCAGCCTATCGGCGGATTTTGGAAGCGGCAAGGCACTGTGTCCATTCCTCCATTACTTCTGACCTTGATAATGGATTCGGGCAACAACATCTGAGCGACGATCCACAACGGGACTTGCGCGAGATGACATAGCGTAGCTTATGCGGGCCGCCGGCGCGCGCGGCACACTGCATGAGATGAGAGCTCTTACGCGCGACCTTACGCGAGCAACTTACGCGCCAATGTCGGTGAAAACGAACCGTTTTGTTTTTGTTGCGTCGCTCACCTGTTAGCAAAATCGGACACAAAACAACCCCAATATCATAACCGGCGACGGAACTGGGAACACTGCGGCGCCGGAACCGGGGAAAACACTGCAAAACGAGGAGGAACCGAAACGGCGCTGTCGTTTCCAAGGACCACTGAGGCCAACCTCCAGGTTGGAATAGCCGGCATCGCAGTCGAACGGGTCAGAGGCGGTCTCCGCCGCGGAGGCCATGGAGCCTGAGGCCGACGTCGAGGTGCTCGTGGTGGAGGACGTGGAGGTGGTCGAGGTGGAGGTCGTGGTGGTGGAGCTTGTCGCCGTGGCGGAGCCCGAGGCCTGCCCAGGGCAGTCCCTTGCCCCTCCGAGCCCGCGGGGGCTCAAGCAGCCGGGGCCTGGGGTGGGCGGGAGCAGCGCCGCCGCCCGCACTCCTCCTCCGGCCAGCCTCGAGCTCATCCCTGTCAGTACTTGGAGGCGGGCGAGGGGGGGAAGTGAGAAGGAGAAGGCCTTCTCAGAAGGCGGCGGGACTTCTCAGAAACCCTCACTCTTTCTGAGAAATTTGTTGGCCGTCTTCGGGAGAGGCTTAGAAAACTTCTCAGAAGGCCGGGGGACTTCCGAGATTCAGAGAAGGCCCGCCCCTTCTCACTTCCCGCCCTCGCTCGCCGCCGAAGTACAGTCGGGCTTGATTGGAGAGAACACGCGAGAGGACACGAGACCCTTCCGAGGGCCACGCTGCCACAGAAATGTAGGAGGCATGGGTCGCAAGACACAGGACACGAAGGTACCCTGGATCTGACAGGGTCGACCTACTGATCCGGGCCGCCTGTAAGATCGGCAAGCCAAAAAGCGATGACGTTCCCAAAGGCACGCGCCCTCGGAAACTGGGGGGATCCTCCAGGGCGGCATCGAGATGAGGCTACGCATGCCCATCATGGGGGTAGGGGCATGCTTCAGGCTGGGGATCATCCTTTCTATTTCCTCTTCCGACGACGTCGGCACATAAGACAACGATGCCAAAGGCGACGAAGCCGACGACGACGACGACGACGACGACGACGATGGCGGCGGCAGACGACGGCAGCGGCGGGAGCGACGATCGACGACTTCTCCGCCGCCCATGCTCCTCCTGCTTCCGCTCCCCCCATAGTCGTCTTCACCCCAAGAGCACTCCGCATCGAAGCGGGGAACATAATGGGATCGGAACAAAGATCCACATAAGCCGTTTGTTCGTTTGTGTGTTGTGATCATTTGCGTGCTATGTAAATTTCCGTGTTGTTCCCGTGTTGTGTTCGTTATCCTGTGTCTTGAATCCGCCTTTGCTGCAAACGAATTTCAAACGAAAGCGGTCCACCCTGGATCGGAATGTGCATCGAATGGGGCCGCATCGACAGGGAGTCATAATTGAATCAACCAACCGCCGCAATCGGAATCCCTCAAGCCTTCTGGGCGTCAGTGGTTCAGGAGCCTGGTGTTGTATTATCCGCGATAATGGGCGTGATCGGGGGGTCCCCCCCCCCCCGATCACGTCACGGCGGGTTTCGGCCTCCCCGGGGCCTTTTTCGAGCCCCCGGATCCTCGGGAGGAGGAAGAAGATAAGGGAGAGGGAGCAGAGGAGACGGACCCCGAGGAGGAGGATCTGGAGGATCCCCGAGGCCTCCCCCTCCCCATCCTTCACGTGTCCCCCCAATCAGAGGCTTCGAGTGTCATCGGAGTCGTCGTCATTGTCGGAGTCGTCGTCATCGTCGGAATGTTCGTCGTCGTCGTCCTTGGCATCGTCGGAGTCCAATCGGAGTCGTAGGAATTGTCGTCGGAGTCGTCGCCGTCGTCGTCAGCGTCGGAGTCACCGTCACAATCGTCGTCGTCGGAGTCGTCAGCGTCGTCGTCGTCGTCGTGATCGTTGTCATCGTCGTCGTCGTCGTCGTCGTCGTCGTCGTCGTCGTCGTCGTCGTCGTCGTCAGCGTCGGAGTCGTCGTCGTCGTCGTCGTCGTCGTCGTCGTCGTCATCGTCGTCGTCGTCCCCTCCTCCTCGTTCTCGTTATCATCCTCCTCCTCCTCCTGCTCCTCATCCTCGCGCAGCTCTCCCCATCCCCCCCGTCTCCCCTCGAGAAAAAGGAAGAGACACGTGGGGAAAACAGCGTGACGTGATCGGGGGGGGAGGGGCGGGGTCGATCACGAGCGTTATCGCCCAGACTAAAACAAAGCAGGCCCCTGTTGGCGCTCCGCGCGGATTTCGTGGATCTACGCTGGACCACCCCTCCCTGGCGCGCGGAACGCGCCAGGGGCGGCGCTGGAGGCGCCGCCAGGGGGCCCCATCGCGGATCCCAGAAATCCGCGCGGAGCGCCAAAAATCCATGGTTATGGCATTGTTTCTTCTTCGAGACAGGACGTGAACACATTTCGGCCTCCGGGGGTCCTTGCTAAGGCCGAGGTTGCTTGTCGTCATAGCGCCGTGAACCAGCACGCCAGGAGGCTGTCTTCTGGACTTGCTTGGCCTCCTCCAGGGGGCCCCGTGAGGGACAAACAAAAGCGGCGGCGGCAAGTCAGCCCTCGTAAATAAAGCCGGTGCCTGCCCGCGGCGCCTCCTGGCGCCAGTGGCGCCAACATGTGTGCCAAAGAGAGCGCCCAGCGCCAGAGGCGCCCAAATGTATCCAGAGGCCTCCTAGATGGGGTCGGATGATGACGCCACATCGCCGATACATCGGCGATGCATCGGCGATGTTTCGGCGATGCACAAGCGATGCATCGTCGACGCCGGCGAGGCATCGGCGACGTCGGCGTGAAGCAAATCGGGCTGCACATCGAGCCGCATCGCCGATGCATCGAGGATGCGGCGAGATCCTCCGACGCCAACTACTCCGACCCCATCTATCACTGCACAGACCTTGCAGACGTGTTAATGCAAAAACCCGAAACGGCGAGCGAAAAACGAAGTGAAAATCACGTGGATTGGTTGGTCTTCACTCCTGGCCACAAAAAAAAAACTCACGGAGTTCACTTCGAAATCCGGAACGAAAGTCTCCAGGACACTCCGGGTCCATCCTACTGTTTTCAAAACTGACTACCTACCAGACCACCCCAACCCAACCCGAAGACCCGAATTTGACCCGAATTTAGGGTTGGGGGGGGTACGGGTTCCATGTGTTTTTTCAACGTTCCCCGACCCCCCCCACTGGAAATGGAGGGCAAATTGAGGCCTTCGGGTTGGGTTGGGGTGGTTTGGTAGGTGGTGAAAAACGAAATCCACTCTGCGATGTTGGCGCCATGACATCCAGGAGGCCTAGAACGTCGGGGCCGACGTCCGCCGCACGCAGCAGTTTTCGTAGACGTGCCGCCATTTACCCATCCCGCTTTCCGTCCACCCCGAACGTGTGGAGGCAACTACTGGGGGGTCTTCGTCGGAAGGACTAAGGAGGATTAAGCCCCATTGGGGGGCTGTTACGCCGGAGTGGGCCTCGGATGAAGCTGGATGAAACCGGATTCAGCGGGATGAAGCAGGATTGAGCATGACTAAGCGGGAGTAAGCCAGATTTCGGACCAGGGCGAAATCCGAATTTGACATCCCAGGAGTTGCATCCGAACCGGAAGACCTTCGTCGTCTGGCCCCTTGGGCCGTATAGCCTGGGCCTGAAGCGGCCGTGCCGGGAAATCGGGAGGACACCACCAAGGCCAAGAGAACCCGCAGGAGCCGACAACAACGACAAGAGATCTCGAACCTCAAACCCGTTATCTATCCCGCCCTTTGAGCAGGGACCGACCGTCCTGGCATTCCTAGAGTGAGGGGCAACGAGAAGGGGGACTGGCATGACCTTCCTGGGCAGGTTGTGGCTATAGGGCCCATGTCGGCGATCAATAGGCGATTGGGGGTCGATGCATCCCCCCTATGCCTATTCCCCCCCATCGTTGCCCCTGATATGGGCCTACCGCGACATGTTCTTAGAACCCAAAATGTTCTCAGAACATCGACAACAATGTTCTTAGAACAAAAAAACGATGCGTTGAAACAAGACAGCCCCAGCCAAACATATGTCCTACGAACACGCCGTGAAGACCACAACCATCGGCGGTGGACAGACCTCCCTTTAGTAGACCTCCCCTTAGTGAAAACGGCCTGGGACCGAAACCGACGGACCTGGACCCGCAAAAATGACGGCCGCGACGCCCTCGTCGCGAACCGAAAACGGCCAATTCCTTAATCGACGTGTCAGGGTAGGAGGTCTGTCCACCCCCGATCCCTCCTCCCTCCTCCTCCTCCTCCTCCTCCTCGTCCTCCTCCTCCTCCTCCTCGTCCTCCTCCTCCTCCTCCTCCACCCCCGAAACCAGGCTCCTGGAACATCCCTTGGTGGGCCCGTGGAGCAGGCCAGGACGCCTCGCCACTGCCCGAGCCCCGCCGTCCCACCTCGCCGCCCGTGGTCCGCCGTGGTGCCGCCGGCGCGAGGGAGCCCGGTGAATCCCCGCGCGCAGAGGGGGGGTCGGAGGCGCGGAGGGGTCGGACTGGTGAATACAGACGACGACGACGACGACGACGACGACGACGACGACGACGACGACGACGACGACGACGACGACGACGGCAGCGCCGCCGGCGACGAAAACGACATCGACGAGCACGGCGGCGAGGACGGGGGCGAAGACGGCAGGGCGGGGGAGGGCGACGACCGCCACGGCGAGGGCGAGCACGACGACGACGGGTAGGGCAGAACCAAGGGGCAGCGACGGCGGCTGCGCTCCCTTTCAAGGCTCCCACTTGCGCTGGGGCGAGAGGCTGCTGCGCTGAGATATCTGCAGCGCAGGGCCAAAGGTGCTGGCCGCACGCTTGGAGCCTCAGACGGCCCCACGACACGCCAAGAGAGCCCCGGCGGACTCCCCAGACGGTCCCAGGAGGCCACGCGTCTCCGCGAAATCGCGCCAAGACGCCCAAAACTGCGCTCAGACGGTCCAGGAGGCTCCCAGGACGCTCCAAAAAGCCGCCACGAGGCGTTCCAACAGACTTTCAAGGACCAAAAATCGTCCCATTCCCCAAGGAAAACGTACATCTTTAGCATGATCGCCTATTGGGCTGCGACGAGGTTACCCACGGCCCAAGAAGCCTTCAAGATCGACCCAAGACGTCCCAAGAGGCTCCCAACAGGGCTGCAAGACCGCCCAAAAGGGCCCCAAGACGGCCCCAGAAGCCTCCGAAGCCGGCCCTGGAGGGCCCCAGGACGGCCCCAGGAGGAGGCCCAGAGGGAGAACCACAATGGCCATTTCAGCAACCAGCCCCGAGAAGCCCCCAGGCCCCAAGCGGCCCCCAGGAGGGCCCCACCACAGCCGAAACGGCGTCGATGAGGTCCCCAAGAAGGCCCC